CTTGTTGTATGTTGTTTTCAACCCAGATCTGCTCAATAAGGCCATTTAAAGCTTCACGCATCTTCTTAGCCCTAGCTCGCGTGACTGGACCTCCTTGGCTGTGTAACGGATCACATGACGTAGTAGATATGTTGTTGTCTTGATTCCCATAGAAAATGAAGGGAAACAAATGTGGCAAACAAGTTGAGATTTTATTGGAAGAAAATTTTCATTAGTCTAGCCAAAATCCCAATTTTTGAAAACTCAAAATCCCATTCTCACTTGATTGTTAATTTTGGAGGTAATTCTCATCAGCACTGTCACTATTGTTATCATTTGAATCCTTACAATGCTATTCTTGAGGAATTTGCTCGTTTGTGAAAACGGGATTATTTTGTTTTTCTAACAAAAAAGAGAGAGGAAGATTCAAAAGAGAAGAGTGAGGAAAGAAATTTGTGTTTTGGGATTTGCTTTTGAAAAAGTAAAAGAAAAAGAGAGGAAAAAAAAATTGTATAAAAGGGCATCTTAGTTGTATTGTAGGTCAAATTGGCAATTGTTATTCATAGAAGTTAAATCACATTGTTTGTTCGTATAATCTATTGTGTGCTTCACAAGATTTTTTGTTAATCTTGCCTATGATTATTTTAAACATCACTAAATTTGACATTGATTTCAGCATCTTTGAAAGCTTTAAAAATCATCATTTTTGGATGTAAGATTTAACATATGAAAGCAATGACAAGTAGATGCATTGAATTGTTGATGATAGTATGGTAAATCAAACATGTTCATGAAATTTAAAGCATCATCTGAGATGGAAAAGATTAATGATGGTTCAACAAAGACACTAAAGGACACATGTTAATCTCTTAAACCTTCAAGGTTTAAAGTTGTGGATATTAATGAAAGTTCACAATTGAATTAAATGAAAAATGAGAAGACTTGAAGAAAGTTAGATTGAACATTGGCAAGAGGCACAATTTATTGATGTTTGAAGAAATACTAATTCGATTCAAGATCATTGTCAAAGAAAGAAGAGATGAAGACTGCATCTCGCAAAAGATCACATCTTAAAAGTCACATTCTAGATGAAGATCGCATCTTAGGAAGAAGAAGAGATGAAGATCCCATCTCGCAAAAGATAAGATGAAGGCCACATCTTAAAAGTCACATCCTAGATGAAGACTTGCATCTTAGGAAGAAGAAGAGATGAAGACCACAACTCGCAAAAGAAAAGATGAAGGCTGCATCTTAGAAGTCACATCTAAGGAAGAAGAAGAGATGAAGACCACATCTCACAAAAGATAAGATGAAGACTGCATCTTAGAAGTCTCATCCTAGCTGAAGACTGCATCTCACAAAACATAAGATGAAGATCACATCTTAAGAACAAGGGATGAAGATTGCATCTAAAAAGTCACATCCTAGATGAAGACCATATCTTAAGAACAAGAAGAGATGAAGACTGCATCTCAAGAAGAATAAGAGATGAAAACACATCTCACAAAGGATAAGATGAAGACTGCATCTTAGAAGTCACATCCTAGATGAAAACCACATCTCAAGAAGAAGAAGAGATGAAGATTGCATCATAAAAGTCACATCCTAAATGAAGATTGCATCTTAGAAGTCACATCCTAGTTGAACATCGCATCTCAGGAAGAAGAAGAGATGAAGACTGCATCTTGCAAAAGACAAGATGAAGACCATATCTTAGAAGTCACATCCAAGATAAAGACCAAATCTTAGAAAGAAGAATAGATGAAGACCACATCTTGAAGAAGAAAAAGATGAAGACCACATCTCAGAAGTCGTATTCTAGATGAAGATTGCATTTTTAGAGAAGTAGAGATGAAGATCACATCTCAAGAACGAAGATGAAGCTTTCACCTATAGGTTATTTGTTGGAGATCTTTCCTATTATTCTTTTCCAAGTTTAAAATTTGGTTACTCTTTTATTCTTTACTTTTCTTTTGAAAAAAGAGGGCAACTGTTATAACCCAATTTTAACTAGGGCTGAATAATAATATTGGAAGCCAATGGACCATTTTTGTAAAAGCATGAAACCTAAAGGGCTAAAAGGAAGAATTGCAAAAACGACATCATTTGGCTTGTGGGTTAAAATAAAAATAGAAGGCCAAGGTTCAATCGAACCCTAGCCTTCCAAAGTTCATGATTCTTGTTTTCTTTTGCTCTACCGCCACCCATTCTCCAAAAACTCACAAATTCTTCTTGGTTTATCCCTAAATCTACTAAAGTTAGGATAGATTACGACATTAATATGTAGAAATTTTTGGATTAGAAGTCTTCAATAGGAATTACAAAAAAAGATTTTGAAGTCAATTTAAATTGGGGAGTCTTGATCTTTAAGAGGTATGAATCTAACCTTGAAAGAGGGAAGATGCGTGAAGAACTAGTTTTCTTATAATTCCAACTTTGAATATAATTTGATTATCATTTGTAATTTAATGATTTGGATTAGAACTTAGAATTAGAGAAGGAATTGGGTTTTTATCTGTAATTCAGGGATTTGGATTATGACGCAGAATTAGAAAAGAATTTGGTTGTTTTCCCATTTGTCTATAAAAGGGGCTTCGGCTAGCCAAGGCGATACAGAAAAAAAAAAAAA